TGCTGAGGGAGGGTGGAGCCAAGCTGCCACTCAAGAATCAACTTTTAAAGCTTGCTGTGTCTCTTTAACGTTTTCCAACATGGGCAATGCATTGTTTCTGCTAAGAAGGCTTTTCCTACAGCAGTCTTTGCCCAAGTGTTTCCTCTGTACACACTGTTTCTGAGCCATTTAGAGTGAACAGCAGAGAAGAGGTCAGCACCGTGCAACCGGACACTTAGGTCCAGACCTCAGAATAGCCCCAGCCCCGACCTGGCCCTGCCCTTCCCATCCGATAGGTTTTCATTCACCCCTTCTCTGCAATTACAGCTTTGAACTCTGTAATTATTAACAAATGTTTACCAGGCCCCGCCTTTTTCTTTAAAACACTACCTTCCTGCAACGCACATGAATAGAGCATCGCAATATCCTCTAGTGAAAACTGGCTTAAGTCATTATGATTTCATATCTGTAAAATGTTGAGGTCCTGACACTCAAAAAGACAAAAGGCGCCATTTCATCATTTTAGCCCTTCTATTTCCAAAACATAGAACAGTACAATAAGAGAGAGAAGTTTTAATGGCTACTCTTTTTATCACTCCAAATATATAAGCATTGTAAAACTGAAAATGACCCTTGTAAAATCAAACAGGACACCAAGGATCAGATAGAGACCTTATCATACCACTTGACTTTAAGTACTGAGAACACAATACTAACTAAAATTATAAGCAGAGATTTGAGAATGATATAATTTTGCATGTGCTTTACTTAGTTCATACTCTGTACTGATTTGTTCTAATATTTGACAATTGTGCACTCAGTCCCAAATACTGCCCTATACTTCCAAAATTTATTTCTATGAAAAGCCCTCATGATAAATTCCAGAATTTGCAACAATACTCTCTTAAAGACCATCAGGGGGTAGGAGAACCTCTAGGATTATTCCTGCCTACGACAGGTGGGAGCATACTTCATGTGGGACTCATGTGGAGGGAAAACACCACAACACAGCCTTAACAGTTTCGAGAGAGCGCTGACCAGAAGCATTTAGGACCATATTGTCCTGCTGTTCTTTATGTTTCCTGAGTTGCTAGTTGAATTCAAAGTTAAGGAGAGGCACCTCCTCATGAAATCAGAGCTGCCAAGGCCGGTGGGGAGTTACCTAGCCCAGCAGAGCCAAGGCCTTATCTCAAAGGATAAGGTGGAGTTTGCTCTTTTCCCCTATTGCGAAATACGAGAATATTAAGTAATCTGTTTATATCACACGGCTCCAAAATCCAAACTGACTTTATTTTTTAAGATAGGGTCTTCAGGCTGCCCTTGAACTCCTGATCCTCCTGCCTCAGCTTCTCAAGTGCTGGGATTACAGAAACACACCACTACAACCATCCTGAAGTTGTCTTTTTTTATAATCCATACAATTTCCTCGGGGGGGGGGGAGCTACCTCAAACTTGGCTTAACTGACAAAACCTAGCAATTTCCCCTGTCTATGTTTGCAATCAAACCCAAGTAGTTATTTCCCATGGTCGAGGTTGTTCTGGCAACATCAGTTTATCATCTACTGACTAGGGTTCCATCTCCAAGGATAGGCTTAGGCTTTTGGTTCAGAGCAGACATCTGTGTGCAAATCACAGAACTCTTTCTACAAGTTGCTGTAGTTGGCGCTCAGTATGAACTGCAAAGAAGCCACACACCATGTAAGGTAACCAGTGAGGGAACAGATTTATAAGCTTCCATTTATTTTTCAAGATTAAAACTGGCACTGGGTTTCCTTTCCAGCATGCTATACCTAAGCCATTAACACACGAGGGACATTTTATGAAAACAAGGTTCAAGTCTTTAAATATATGTGGCACAGATTAAGTTCATTACTTAAACAAAAGATGACTCCTCTCCTGACTCACTCTGTTCTGGGTGAATTTTGCAGCTGATGGTTCTCTATGAAGATTTTAGGGGGAGGATTAAGTGCTACCCCGCCCACTGAGAGTAAAGTTGAACAAGGTGAATTGGGGGCACGCTCTCAAGTCTCACTTGCTGCAGCCCCAGAACATCACTAGAAGAAGCCAGGAGAGAACCTGGAATTCTTCTGGCCTCAGAAAACTGAATCCAGGCATTCCAAGAACTATTTTTACTGTAGGAACATGTCAAAGTAACTATAGCTACTGGACCTCAATTATCAAAACTTACAGAAATTACTAAAAAGCAAAGTTTTTAAAATTTACTTTTGCAAGGTGTGTTGCAATATACTTTAGTCATGGTCTCCTTAGTAGGAAAAGAAATAACTTGCAGGGTCAAAGAAAACATAACTGATAATTTGCAGGAAGGTATTTGAGCTCCTTGCCTTTTGAACTCTCCATCCTCAAACCACCACATTAACTTCTGCTTAAGTGTCAAAGACTCAGCTATTCAGGAAGTAACATGCTGTTCCCCATCAGTAATGCCTTTTTCTATGAAATTACAAATATGAGATACACTCACAACCTTGAGAAATGTATCCCCATTTAAAAGTCGACCTACATCAGAAGTCGTGACAGTCATCAGCCCTTTCCTCACTCAATCACAGGACCCACAGATGTGCCATGAAACCTTTGTCTACTTCAACTTTTTTGTACTCTCACCCAGAGCTGATATTACATTTAAGTCCCCCTGACCCTATTTGATGAAGCCAGAAAAGAAAGGAGAGGGCTAAGTAGAAGGGTATTGAAGGAGAAAAGAACTAGTTCATAGCTTCCAACCCTTCTACTGTAGGAGTGTCTCCACTGTTGGAAGTCCACACCAAAGCCACCATAAAATCAACCACCATCCTGTAGGCTTAGGATTCAACAACAGACAACATAACATGCCTAGAAATAAAAGGGATCAGATCACACACCAGCCACCAGCACAAAAGAGTGACTGTCATGTGGACGTCCTGTGAGAACAGAAAGCACAAACTTCGTTGTCAAGCACACTTCTTGCATTGAACTAGGCACTTATATCTATAGCCTTTTTGCTTCTCTCCCAAAGAAATCTGGCTACAGAATTGCGTGTTATTTACATTACGATTTATACTATGATCAATAGATAAATTTTCTCCTTGAAAATCAAGGGAAATAATTTAGGAAATTCACTTCTTAGGCAAAGCTTTAAGAACCCGAGTGCACTCAGAAATCTGCAGGGCCTCCTGTAGTAATTCAGTACTTATCCCTATGTGGACTTTGGGAGCCCAATCCACATAGAGGGGTACTCCCTGAGCCAAGACATACAGAGGTGGGCCTAGACCCTAACCCAAAGGATACGATAGACTCTGATGACACCCTATGGAGGGCCTCACCCTCCAGGGGGAGCAGAAAGGGTATGGGATAGGTAGGGCCTTAGTTGGGGGGGTGGCAGGGGAGGAGGGGAGGGAGAGGGAACTGGGATTGACATATAAAACAATCTTGTTTCTAATTCAAATTAAAAAAACATCTGAAAAAAAAAAAAAAGAACCCGAGTGCAGACATCTGCTGAAGTACTGGGCTGTTGATCCAAAGCACCTTCAGGACTGGAGAACTCCTGAGAACTCAGCTGGGATCTTGTTCCCAAAGCAGAATGTGTGCACACCGTATGTCCCCATTCCCAAAGGTTTTTCACTTTTATTGTTCTAAAACAATAGAATTTTCATCAAACCTCCATTATTTCTTATGCTCTCACTGGATGGCTTTAGTTCCTCTTTTACAGTTGGGAATAATGACAGTGGCTGCAATGAAGTTTCAGCAATAAAGAAAAGTTTTACTCTTTTGCCTTCCCCAACTTGGCATTTTCCCATAGTCACATTGCAAAAATGCAAGGAACCCATAAAACAATGTAAAAGAAAATACTGTAGTTTCCGTTTTCCTAAGAAACTTAGGCATCAAATTCTTGTTAGTCAGCCTCGAGTGCTTAAGTATGGGAAGCCAATGGGGTGGGGCAGAGAAGGCACCAACCTTCCAGAGGGCAAAAGAAACTCACTGAAGAAACATGAGAAACAACATAACAAGCACCACCCTGGGGCTGCTCCCACAGCACAGGATCATGAACACCCTTTGACCTGGAGCTCCAAGTGCTTGAAGCATTGCTCCAAAGCATACATTATCCACCGTCCTCTTCCCAACCTCACCATCCTCCTTGCCAAGGTTTTGGGAGGCACAAGCTACCCAAAGGAACCAGTCAGTCCACAGCCTCCAAAAGAGGGAACTGTCTCTCAAGTGACATTCACAAGAAAAACTGGTCCCATCATTCATCTATAAGTTTCCTTTGGTGCTATCTATAACCCTGACTGCCATATGAAATCTCATACTAAATACCAATAATAGACTATATATTTTTGACACCTTCACATTGTTGCTTCAATAAATATTAATGAAGCCTTGCCTTCCCACTACCAATCAAATAGCATTCCCCCAATGTTACTGGTAAGTCAGGAGGTGAATGAAGGAAGCACACACTGAAGTGTGTTGGCAGAGATAAAATAGAACTCTTCTTCGGTTTTAACAGGCACTGGCAACATTAGTGAAAGAGGTTCCGAGGAATTTTTAAATCGAAAACGCTTGTCTGTGTTTTCTGAACGAAGACTCGTCCATGACAACCATCCTCAGCTTAGACCTGCTTTCCCTACAACAATAATTATCGTTCTCTCCTTCGGCAACATCTGTTTCTCTCCTCTATAAGCTACCAAAAAAGGAATAGTAGAAGGTGCTAACGAATTCATTTCTATAGATCTGGCAGCTCTCTGGAATTATCTAGTAAAACAGTCATTTCTGGTGGAGAAGCAAAGCTAACACAAATAACACCTTTTAAAAAAATGTCACAGGTAAGCCCCTGCTGACTTCAATTCTGAGGGTCCAATGAAGTTCTTAGAATTACTTCCCATGCAGAAGCAAAATGCAGAGATTAAAGAAACTCCACCAGCAGATGTGGTGTTTAACTTTGAAAATTATAAGATGCACGGAAATATATGAATGCAGTTTTCTACAGAGTACATGGACAAAAACACACACCTTCCCAGACCCAAAGGGCTCACCTTCTACTTCTTCTTCATCACACACATGTTTAAGGAACGAAGCCCCTCTGTCCAGGACAGCTTCATCCTCCATCCTATAATAATAGAAGAGAAAAAAAGAATGCTCAGACTTCTCCTGAAGTGAGCCACTTGAAGCAGCCCAGCTTCTGGGCAGGTTAACCTGCAAGCTGTTGTTCATATTTGCAGGGCAGAGTCCCTCTTCCTTTGGTGGCTGTCACTCCTTCACGCAGCTCTTCTCATCTGGTCCTTGAGAATGTGCTGGCCCCACATCGCTTCAGTTCTAACCTTGAGAGGGCAGCCACATGGAGAGGGGAGAGGAAATAATCCCAATCTTGCAGGCTGGATGTTGAGGGAGATCCTCCCTTTAGGGAGTTGCAGAAGAGAAACACAGAGATGAAAGCAAAAGAAGAAGAGAACAAAAAAAAAAAAAAAAAAACAAGAGAGGAAGTTTGGTGTGTCTGGAGTGTTCGTGATGATCGCTTGTGGAAATCCAGTTTCAGTGCTTAGCTCTTTAAACACCCACTGCACAAAATGTATACCCTCACAGGAGCACATGCACACCCACCCACACACACAGCGACAGGGAGTTAGGTTAATGCACAGTGGGAACCTAGCTTGCAGCCAGCCTCTTAATACCAGCCCAGTATTCTGCGTTGAGTGGCAAGCGTTGAGTCACATGTTGGCCTCACAGAAATCTGACATCTGAGGATTATCTAGCACCAGGGCTTCGGCAGTAGACACATATACATGCCCCATCCATTCACTTCCACACTCTGCTCACGCGTCGCTCTGTGTGCTAGATGCACTCTTAACTCTCCTCTGAAGGGCACGAAGTTCTTCATTTTGTAACCACGCTATGCTGTCCTCCTGTCTCCTTACATAATAGAATCTACTCTGCAATTTCATATGCTAAATAAGACCTCAGAATCTATCCAAGGAACGACAGCGTTTTTTTTTTTTTTTTCTTTTGCAGTCTCCTCCCGGTGCCAAACATGTTTCTAGTTTACAGAATGAGTGAAGCTTTATTCCCTTACTCTGTGGCTCCTTCCCATTGCATTAACTTTCATATACAGAATTCCATGAACTCTATTTATAGGGCAAGCAGAAAGAAACCCTGAACTGCTCAAGCGCTGCTTGTGTAGTACGGGTCTTGTAACAAAGAACTTTCTCCAGGGACAGCTGCTCTGTGTCATCCCATATATGAACCTTGCCAGAGAACCACATGTTCACTCTACACTCCAGTCATCCAATTGTATGCTTGAGCACTGGATATGATTGAGTCTGCTTTCCACATGGTCTATATAACTTATTCTGGTGCTACAGGATTTGCTATAGTCTAGGCAGAGGTGCACTGAATTCAGTTTTTCCCTTCGTATTTTAGGGATATACCTCCCTTACCAAAGCATCACCTTTACATAAAAGGTCAGAAGCAAAAACCAAAAATCTAATTCGACCATTTAATAGTTATGCCACCCGAAGCAAAGTACTTAACTCTTTTGAGCCACAACAGGGTTTTTTTTTTCCCTTGTATAAAAGTAGAGCAATCATATCAATTTCACAGTGATTCAACACAATACTCTCAACTCTGCACTGACTGCTTTGAGATTCGAATGAGGTGCCAGATGTCAAAGCATTCAGCACCAAACTTAGCACACAGTACTTGGTTTAGTTTTATAAATGTGGCTCCCTAGACCCTCAAGGTATCTCAGCAGGTAAAGATGCTTGTCTCCAAGCCTGATGACCTGATGTTTGATCCCTAGAACCTACACAATACATAGAAGGAAACAACAGACTCCACACATATGCTGTGGCATACACAGAGACAGACAGAGAGACAGAGAGAACACACAGACAAAAATAATAACATTCTACAATAAGTTTCTCTTTTTTTTCTTTCCTTTTTTCCCTTTACCAGCCCTGGCAAACAATGTCATTAAGAAACTCATTATTAGTCCTCAGCCATGTCACCCTGACGGCATCCCATCTTGTCTAAGGCTAAGCAGGGTTGGGCCTGGCTTGGATGGGAAGAAAAGTATGACTTTTGGACTCTTCAAGAGTCTTCCTTGGGGGATGGATATGAGCTTTGTACATGATGGCTCAACCTGACACATGTCAGGATACGTTTCCTCTCTGCACTCAAACTAAATGTATAAAACACGATATGGGCCAATCAGCAGGGTTACAGTCGGAATGAAATACCTTAAAGGCTACGAAGCCAAGCCATTTGCCAATCTCTCTGAGCCTTAGGTTCCCAGGAAGATTAAAGGATACAGCGTTACTCATGGGTTCAGCAAATATTTAATTACTGCTTTCTATATTCCAGTTACTCTTTAGAGGGAGGGGAAAAATCTACAAATAAGACACAAAGGTTCTTAAAAAAAAAAAAACTAACAATGAACAAAGAAACAAGATAACATCAGAGAACAGCATGAAAGTTTTGCAGAAAGTAAAATTGCACGAGAAGGACTGTCTAGCATAGGGTGATGCTGATGAGCTTCTGGGGAAGTGACTTGATTTGGGACAAAGTAGCTGGGTGAAAAGGCAGAACAAGCAATGGGATAGCAAGTGACAAGACCCTCAGGTAGGTCTAGACAGCAAGGGGGTCAGCGATACAAATGACACTGGAGAGAACTGGGTCGGGCAAGCCAGGAGAAGGAGTCAGAATTGACGGTCTGAACTGTTTTCCCTTTTCAAAGGATCGATCTACCTGTGCTGTGGAAAACAGTTAGGGAACAAGAGAAGTTCACATACTACCACAAGAACCAAGGGGGCTGTGTGAGAAACAGGCCATTGAGAAGCCTTGGAGTGTTTCGCTATGCTCACTTTAAGGTGGAAACATGCGTCCTGTGCATAAAAAGTTGCTGATATGACCACAGCTGCCTGAGTCTGGAACTAGGGACTTGCGGCTGATGCTAAAATGTGGCAAAATTCATACATCAAGCTGGGGCTGAAGTCATTACCACATACACTCATGGAGGAAGGAAGAATCGGTCCAAGGGAGACCTGCGACCACCTGCTAAAACACACCAACACCCCCAAGTCATGCAGTGAGGCAAGGGTAAACAGGGCATGAGTGACAACAGGGAAGTCAGAGAAGCAGAGAAAGCTGAGGAAGACGGAGATGGAGAAGCAACGGCTGGATTTGGCAATATAGAGGATGCAGTTGGTATTACAGAAGCTCTTGAAACAGGCCATGCTCTGTGTTGGGGAGACAGGAACAGAGAGGGTGCCCGCCTGTTCCCTTTTCTCTCTCCTACGCCCCTCCAGTGAGGATGGGAGTAAATATGAACTCAGTGTCTACCACTGTGCAGCCTGCACACTTCCAAGTGCCAGGAATACACAATCACATCTACCTTCTCGAAGATTTCCCCTGGAGGTCAAGGGGCAGTCTGAAGTGCAAGGAGCCATTAGTTACCCAGTGTTTGTACACACAGATAAGGATGACAGCTTAATGAGGATATTTTCTTAAAACTCCTCAGAAGCACAACAAAATCTCAGAGTGTTGCCCTGCTGCACGTCCCTTAACTGTGCACCATGCCCTTTGGAAAAGAGAATAGTTTGTCCCTCATCTCTTCTCAGAAGTGACCCCAGGTCAGTGAGCATGCCGAATTCAACACAACTAAATGTAGACTTCACTTTGTACCCTCTCACCCATCGGGCAGGTCCTAAAATATTTTGTTGTCTCTTCATGTATTTTCTAAAGAAAACATTTAGCCTCGAAATCTTTTCCAAAATTGCATGCCACAAGCAAAAGAAACGGAAAAGCAAGAAAGCCAGAGACGACTGGAAAGGAAGGTACGAGTCAGTGCACGAGCCCTCTGGCCAAGTTGAGCAAACTGCCCAGCCCCACTGTCTGAGTAGGGAGTGGGGGTCACGATTGGTGCATTCCTTGGCTCTTTGATGCATAGTTCACATTCCCTTCAAGACTATACATAGCAAGTCATCAGAACTTCGTTCTTTCGGATGGATCATGCAGACCGCCTGAAAACAGACCTCTTCTCTGCAGATGGGGGGAGAAGTGGCAGGCAAAACAAAGCAAAAGCATAAAATCTGGCAGTCCTTATTCTGCCCCAAGAGCAAGGTCATCCTGGAGAACTTGGTCTTCTACACATACCACAGAGATTCCCCTCTTTTTCCATCCATCTTTATATGACAAATATCAGTTCTTCAATCTTACGTCCTCTTACCAGTTGCTGGCTATTATTAGTAAGACAGAGATACCATATAAAGTGGCTGACCCAACCATTTTCCCCTCTATAAATCAGTTGGAAGAAATTAACTCATCCAGTCCCTAATCAGGCCCCCAAATCCATCCTTAAAAATGTCCTTTGCACGTGCCCTGTATTTTTGCTGAAAATGAGCAGGAAGTGTGCTTCCACACAGCTTCAGCACTGCTCACATCACTAGCATGAGGCAAAATTCAGAACAGATTTGGAAGCTTCTCACCAGCATCAGGGGGTTAAGAGTCACACCAGTCATTATAAAAGCCGCTTTGGGTCAATGCTGCCTTCCTTCAACCTGGGCTCTGATTAGAGAAGTTACGCCCCTTCTATACAAGTCCAGACCCACGGTGGGGGTTTTCTTATTCTCCATTATTCTGGGATAGCAAAATGATTTAGCTGGAACACATGTCAAATTTTTTGCCAAATGGGCAGGCTGTCACCAGCCGGTCCTAATCACTGAACAGGCCTGTGAGGGTGACTTAAGTCCGGCACGAGAAACATTTGTGCAGAACTGTCAGCCACTGGAGTACCCATCCACATTCCAGCCCTCTCAGATCCCACCCCCCTGAGCCTGCGCCAACTGCCAACGTGCTCACCAACTAGTACTCACAGCGCAAGCAGCTGCCACTCAGCCAGTCAGCAAGTGGCAGGCTGGCAGCACACAAGTTTCAAGAGCACCAGCCTGCTAGCCACAGTGCTGTTAAAGGTTGAAGGTCTTCAAGTATGCTAGCCTTCAGATTCTCCTCACTTGCCCTCCTGAGTCCCTCTACCATCCTTCCCTACTGAGCCTCCCACGGTAGCAGTTCACTCGTCACTATGGTAACAGCATCTGGTTTCAGAGTTAGAACTT